GGAGGAGGAGGAGGAGAGGGGATGCGGACGAGGGCTGGGGAAAGGGCGGTGGTCAGCCACCCAGGGGGCAATGTGGCGAGGAGGAGGGTGAGCGGGAGGACGAAAGCAGGCGCAAGCGAGGCGGTGGCCTCTCTCAGGCTGGGGAGGTACCGCACGCTGCCCAGGCCGCAGTCCTTCACGTCGATGACGAAGCGGGCCCGTATCAGGCGGCCCGCCCGTATGGACATGGCCCGCAGCGTCTGGAGCGTGTCCTCCGAGATCGCGCGGCGCGCGGGCCCCCCTCCGGAGAGCCTGGCGCTGCAGAAGCGTCTTCGCCGCGGGCGCTGTCGCTCGACCTTTCGGGCCCCGGGGGGGCCCTCACGGATCGATCCGGCTTTAAAAATGACGCAGAAAGATGATGATGATGATGATGATGATGACGATGAGGAGGAGGAGGAGGAGGAGGAGGAGGAGGAGGAGGAGGAGGGAGGAGGGAGGGAGGGAGGAGGGAGGGAGGGAGGGAGGAGGGAGGAGGGAGGCAGGGAAGGCGTGATTTTTGGTGACGTTACATTTTTTTTTTGCCGCGTCGGATCTCCAGGGCCGCGCGGCGGGACGCGTGCCCGCCTCGAGCCACGCAGGGCCCTCCAGCGTGCAGCACGGTGTCGGGGTCGCCTCCCTGCAGGTCACCCCACGTGTGGGCCACCACCGCTTTCCGTCTCGCCAGGCGCCACGAATCGGGGAGACGCAAGACTCGGGTACGGGGGACTCGGGTTGGCCTGAGGGGGCCACCCATAAAACATGGCGAGATCCAATCTGAAATTTGATGCGAACTCCCGCCGCAAACATCCCACGAAAACCGGACCGTCAAAATCCAGGACGCGCTCGTCAAAAAACGGCGGCACGACCGAGTTCCGGCTTACTCGAGTCGCACGTTTCCCCGAACGGAGGCTCTCATTACCAAAACAGCATGCGCCCGCGGTGATTGGAGAGCCTGCGCTTCTCCAATCGAATCGGGCGTTGCTGAATGGGAGGTTCACCGCTCGCCGCCCCGGGGCCCTCCTCGGATCCGAGCGCCCTGGGGCACCACGGCAGGAGGAGGAGAAGGAGGAGGAGGAGGAGGATGAGGAGGAGGGAGGGGGGCAGAAGCGTGTACCTTTCGTGTCCACCTTGGGCCCCAGGGGGCCTTTGGGGCCCCTTCAGGGCACAACAGGTGCACCTGTCTTCGCCACCCCATTCATCTTGGCAGCGCGCAAAAGAGGATAGGGGGAGGGGGGAAGGCTTCTTCGAAGCACCCTGCTTTCGGCGGTGGACAAACCTCCCTTTAGTAAACCACCCTTCGGTGAAAACGGCCTGTGGGACCGAAACCGACGGACCTGGACCCGCAAAAACGACGGCCGCGACGCCCTCTCGCGAACCGAAAACGGCCGATTCGCTAATCGACGTGTCAGGGTATGAGGTCTATCAACCTCCGATGCTTCTTAGCAGGCCCCGGCCTTACAGCTAGCAGCTCACGCCTCGGAGCCGACCGCGCTCCTGCACCGGACTGCTCTCACCTCGGCGCTGGCAACCACTTCCTGCTCCCATTTTTGTTGCTCTCGCCTACTGCGTTTTCTGCGCAGAGTGCACCTGTGGTCGGGAGCATGTGTTTTCGAGCGGCGCGTTCGCCTCACCGCGGGCTACATTTCTTGATCGCAAGTTTTGTCTCCCCAGCGCGGCTCCTGACATTGCTATATCTCTCTCTCTATTTAAGTACCGCCACCTCCTTCTCTACCTTCCCCTTCTGCTGCTGCTCCTTCTGATCCTCCTCCCCCTCACCCTCTTCCTTACCATACAATCGAGAACACCTACGGCGCCCCCCCCGTCGCCGCCTGCCTCTTGGAAGTGCCTATTGGACAAGATATTGGACGATGCGATCCCCAGCCGTTGTGGAAACATTTGGCGGGGATGTATATACATGCGTGTATGTGTATACGCACTAGAACCATCGCGCGTGCCAATGCAAACACGGTACACAATTGGTGCACGCTGCGATGCCTCCAGCGACCACCGGGCCGCTGCCGCGGAGGCAGGTGAAGGCCACTGCGACGACACGGACAACACGGACGACGACGACCACAAGATGGGGGCACGAGGTGGGAGGGAGGGCGCGAGAGAAGGAGGGGGAGGAATATATATATATATATATATATAGAGATGTGTGTGTGTGTACATATATACATATATATGTATAGAGAGAGAGAAAGGAAAAATGATAGAACAGGAGACAGACGGAATTAGAGAAGGGAAGGACGGAAGGACGGATGGATGGTGGTTGGATGAAGGAGCGAAGGAGGGACATCGAGGGAGAGAGGGGTGAGGATGACTGTCGTGACCGCCTTGAAGGCGTCTTGGAGCCGTCTGGGGCCACCTTGTCTGTATTGGAAGTACTCTTGGGAGCCGTTTGGGGCGGAGACGCCCCCCAGAAACGTACCTGCTCCCAAGGCCGGCGACATGGGCTGGAGGCAACTGGGAACCCTTTGGAAGGGCAAAACCGCCACCGTGCCTGGGTCGTGGACAGGAAGCTTGTTCGATGCCTACTTTGGAAACCTTGAGAAACCTTTTGGGGCCTCGCGGATGCCTCTTCCGGACCCCTTTGGGGGCCTCCTGGGAGCTTCTCGCCCACCCTCCTCCGACTCCTCCTGGCCCTCCTTCTGCTGCTGCTCATGATCATGGTCATGGTCACGCTCCTCCTCTTGCTCCTGGCGCCCTCCCCATCTCGTTCCTCCTTATATGCCCCCTGCCCGTCCTGTGCTGATTCCCATTGAGTGTATCTGCTTCTTCTCTCTCCTTCCGACTTTCCACCCTCTCCTCCATAAACCTTCTGCGCCTCCTGCACCTCCTTCTCCTCCTCTTCCTCCTCCTCCGTCCTCGTCCTCCCTCTCGTGTTCCTTCCCCATCCCTCTTCCTTGTGTCCTTGTGAACACCTCCGCCTCGTCGCACCACCAGACTCGTCGGTAGGGCAGGCCAGGCACGTCGCCTAAAACTTTCTCACCGCTGATGATCGAAAACCGTAGAGAATCAGACAACTTCAAGGGTTGAGGGCAGGCCAATTGCCAGATGACGCTGCCCCTTCAGCTCCGCTCCAAACCGTCCCGACAGTTGCCAACATCTGCGCGGACGGACGGCGGTCTGTCGTCACTATGTGGTTGTTTTGCGACTCAGTAGCGACGCGCGCATCTGTGTTCGAATCCTGAGGCAACTACACCGATGACAAGCGCCCCGTTTTCAGAACCTTGTTCTCGCCTTGGCGCCGGCCACACTCACTTCTCCAAGTGCAACATGTGGAAGGATGTACTGCGGATGGTCTCTATTCTAGAGGTGACTCTCGCTTGGAACCACGCCCCCGCATACTCGTCTTGACAGCTTCCAACATTTACGCGGGTATCACGCGGCTCCTTTGCAAAATGGAGGTCCCTCTGAGGAACTGTCCCAGCAAATTCTAACTACCAGTAGCTCAGAACCGCACAACAGATTCACGGATGCAGAACGGCTCCTTTTTCAGAATGGGGTCTCGCTCGAGACCTCCCCCCCGGTTCGATGACCAGAGGCGTGAGCATGTCCAGCAGCCGCACGGATGGAGGGCAACTATTTTCTCAAAGCGGGGCTCTCGCTGCACATGTCTTCAGGCGTTCTGACCATACTGCTTCGCGCTCCTTGCATCTAGAATGATGGAGGGCGCGTCCTTTTCAACACTGGACTCTCCCCTGTATTGCAAGCTCATGCCTTCGGGCGTTCGTCTTGGAAGTAGACACCCCCAGCTTTGAACCAGAACTCTTGTAGTGCGTTGCCTAGAGGGAACTTGGGACGGGATGTTGCACTGTGGCATCGCTGATGCGTTATGGGTTTACCCTGGCCCGCCTCCTCCTTATGATCCCCCCATCTTCCTTCCTTTCATGCTCTTCCTCCTCCTCCCCCTGCTCCTTCTCCTCACCCTTCCGCTCTTGTGCTGTCGATTTTCGCGGCGATGTTGGATTGTTCGCGTCTTCTCTCTCCGCCCAGACATCACCGAAAGCCCCCGCGCGCAGGTTGGTCCGTGATTCAAATCGACCGTTCAGGCAGGCTCGTCGCCGCCATGTACGGCCTCGTCCCGCTCCACCCGGCGCCAGGACAGGCCGCCCGGGATGGAGAGGACTGGGCGTTCCGAATGCTCTCTCAGTTCAGGGAGTGGTCTGATGAGGACCCACTGGTTGTGTACACGGATTGCTCGGGATCCCTCGGCTGTGTGTCGGACTCCAGCGTGGCCCTCGGCGTCAACAATCCGAGGCGCCATATGTGGAGTGACTGGTAGCAGGGCATTGGTCAGAAAGCCCGTGCTGTGAAAATTGAAGCTCATCGTAGTCTAGCTTCCGCTACCTCTGACCACGAGGAATGGCTAATTAAAGGAAATGCGATGGCTGACAGGTGGGCCAAGAAAGGTACTGCCTTGTGGAACGTATCGCAAGATCACCTTGATTTCGTTTCAGGTTGTGAGCGGATTGCTACCGACATTATTCGCTGGCGAAGCAAATGCCAGGAATATTTTGGCGCTCTGGACCAGCCCGACTCAGAATAGCTTGTCGGTTCGGGGGAGGTGGTTTTAGACACGGAAATGCCTCCCATCTTGGTTCAGGCCTGCCTGGAGGAAGGGGTGGCTCCCTTTGGGGATTGGTCCTTGGCTGAGGGGGTCGAGACCGTCTCTCCTGCTGAGGAGCCTCCTCCTCCTCCTCCTCCTCCTCCTCCTTCTCCTCCTCCTTCTCAAGTTGTGGACGCGGGCTTTGTGTCGGCCACTGGGGTCCCCTGGGTTTTCAGGGGTCACTCGGTGGTGCAGGCCCATGTCGTGTCAGACTCAGGCCAGGACCTCCCCGACCTTCTGTTTTGTAAGATGTGTGGTGTTTCTGTGCACTCCTCGGCTCGAGGCCTCCAGGGGGGCTGCAAAGGAGCTGAGCACCCAGGCTTGAAGACCCAGCGGTCCAAGCTTCGGAGAGGCTTGTTCCCAGGGCATCATCACGGAGCAGCGAGGATTGGCGCGGCCTTTAGGCCGTCCCTGCAGATGCGAGCTGTTTGGGGGCCTGCTTGAGCCTGCTCCTGCCGCTGCTGCTGCCGGGCCCCGCGACAGCGAAGCTGATAAGGGGCAGGGTTCGGCCGAGGCTTCGATGCCAGCAGCGGAGCAGCGGGCAGGTGGACGCTTGCTGCGCGTCCAAGGGCTTGATGCCATCTCTGTTGCCAGATT